TATAAATAAATATTAACTCGTAAACCATAAATATTAAATGTATAATGAATTTAGGGCTAAGAACCTTAAAGGTGAAATTCATATAGTTTAAAACCTGAATTCGCCTAAACACCTCAGGGCAGGATCCTTTAGCAGAGAGAGAGAGAATGGATGGACAAAGATTATGTTAAAAGTGAAAGTTCATACTTTCCATGTAATAAAGCGATTCTTTTGTATAATATATAATGAATAAATTTAAAAGTTACGTTTATCTCTATTCTTTTAAATTATAAGTAAAACTATAATTCTAAATTACCTAGTTTTTTTATCCATCCAAGTCACATAGTTCAAGGCGAAATGGGGAATAGAATAAAATAATCAATTCAAAGGTAACCTTGGATGACCAAAAACGACTCCCCTGGACTCGAGGCAAGATTAGGTCATACGTCTTAAACTCTTAACTAGACATCCTATGCACTTTCAGGGGCACAATGGTAAATCAACAAGATAAGGACAATGAAGATGCTACTTGTAAGGTAAATTCTTTCCAGGTTGGCAATAAGTGCTTACTTCGAACCTTTCTATAACATTCATCATTTATAATGGTATTTCACTATAATATTTAATTTTTTTCGAGAATCAATTATCATGTTATCTTATATAATAGTATACATTTTCTATAACAATATTTTGTTAACAAGTAACAACCAATGATGAGTCACATTAATTTTAATTAACTGATTAGGAAAGCTGGTTCCGTAGTATTAGAAGCTTAAGTATTCTGGAAGAAGGAGGAATGAGGATGTGGAAAAGAAGAGACGGTCTTAGACCTTATCTTAGCTGTTTAAATAAAGCAAGGTCTAGGTTTGCAGTGATATTACTTCCCCCTATTCGACGATTCACTCTTCCTGGACTTGCTTGACTCATCCGAAAAAAGAGCGAAATGTTTCCAAGCTTTTCCTACAATAACCACTTAATAGCTTGTCTAGACAAACTTCTAAATCAGCTTATTTTGAAAAATGTTTTTTAAAAGTGCTTTTTAAAAAAATACTTTTGGTGAGAATCAGTTTGTGTTCGGCTAATTAATTTAAAATTATTTTTGAACAGCAAATAATGTTTGACCAAGCTTTAAAAAAAATTGAAGTGTATTTTTCTCAAAATGCTTTTCATAAAATATTTTTGGGAAGAAGCTATTTCTTTTTGTTTCTCAAAAACTGCTTATGCTTACTGGGAAGCATTTTTTCCTTTTAAAAGCATGGTCCTTAGCTTTAGGAAAAAAGTATTGTTGGCCAAAAAAAATACTTTTTGCCGAAAAGAAACTTGGTCAACCACGCTATTAGACCACTTCAAACATCATACTTCAATTGTGGTACAATAGGTTCAAAATAAACTGTTGTACAATAACTAAGGAGAAACAATTTTGTTTGAAATTTGTCTACATTACCTACCAGTTCAATCTTTTGGAAATATTGGCTATAGATTAAATAGGAGCATCCAAATAGGCTGCCTGATCACGCCCAACTATGCCTTATAAAAAGGACAATGCGGTCGCTGCAAATATAATCCGGTTTATAAGTCCGGAGTCGATATCCCACAGAGAGTTAACCTATCAGTTGCAACCTTCAGACCCAACAAGTCTTCAGAATCAGCTTCCCAAATATTTAAATTCTCAATTGAGTGTTCTTTACTAACTAACTTTCAAGTAACTACAATGCTATAACTAATAAAAAGGGTTGTAAACAATTATGAGAAAAAAAAGCTAAGGCAATGATTTCCCCTATTGATGGAATCCCTTCTGTTTATGCTCATACAAATTTACCCACACACCTCTATCAATCATGAACACTAATCTTACCGCAAATCTCTCCCGAGTAATCACAGTAATCTACTATTGCACTCTCCCGAGATACACTAGCTTGCTTTATTTAGCACAATTCACTTTAGATTGCACCCAAGGCTTCGTTATTCCTAATCCCGCCTTTAAACCCGCAATTATAGATTCCTCTAATAATCTAGGAGTGGTGTTGTTCAACAAAACCCTAAATATGCACTCTTTTCCAAGTTATGCACACTAAATAGGCACAGCTAATTGAGGATCCTGTCAATTAACTACAACGAACACGAAGTTGAACAAATAAAGATTAAACTAGCAATTTGTATTCACATAAACAAGAAGTTCATCACCCAATAGGTTCCATCAAAGCCTTAGACAAGAAATTTAGCTACTCATAGTTATGGGAGAATAAACTAAACTTGAATTCATCATAAAATCAAAAGAAAAGAAGAAAGATGTTTAGAGTACTTTCTCCCAATTGTTCTCCTTGCTAAGAAACCTAAAAAATCAATACATGCCTCTCTTGGGCGAAGTCTAGTGTTTAAAATAGGGTTTAGGTCTAAAAATCCCGTGTTTTACACTTTGGTCCCCGAAGTTTCTGTGTCCACCGCGGTTCTACCGCGATCGCGGTAGAACCGCGGTAAAATACCCTCGCGGATCTTCAATTATTCAGAGACTACCTTCCACCGCGGTTTCACCGCGGTCGCGGTGGAACCGCGGTGGACCCTGTACCCGGGCAATTTGGCCTGTTTTGAATGGGTCACTTGGGAAATGCAACAATTAGCCTTTTTTTTCATCAATAGTTGACTCCAAACTGCTCCTTAGCCTTCCTTACACCTATATCACCTGCAAATCATGAAAAGTACCAATAAGAGCATTTTGTTGTCATTTTTCCACATTAAAGTTCACAAGAAGGTGGTTATTCGGTGCGTGATTATAGTCAAATTCACCTATTATCACTGCCCATTAAATTCAAGACCTAGTTTTCCCAAACATTGTACTTTAATTGTTGTACAATAGGTTCAAAATAGACTACTGTACAATGACTAAAGAGGCAGTTTAATCTGAAATTCTATACTGGCTATCAGTTAAATCTTTCGGAAAAACTGGCTATAAATTTAATGGGAGCATCCAAAAATAGACTGCCCATGAAATGTTTACTATCCACAGAATCAAGGTAAAATTCAAAAATAGCTAGATTTATAAGTGGTAATTGAAAAATTGCCACAGGTTCAAACGTAATTGAAATTTAGCCATTTTTCATGTAAAGATAAATTTGAACAAAAACACTGTTCAAAATTCGAAAAATATTCCAGTATAATATACTGGAGTTCGAATTTTTTACATGTGCACTTCCAGCATAATATACTGCATATCCAGCATAGTATACTGGAGTTCCAGCATAATATACTGGTTCAGTATAATATGCTAGAAGTTCATACGCAGGTGCTCCAATCTCCGGTATATTATGCTGGAACTTTCCGTGTGCTGGAGTTCCAGCATAATATGCTGGAAGTTCATACAAAGAAGCACCAATCTCCAGTATATTATGCTGAAACTTTTCATGTTGCAGCAAAATAGTAGTATCTTTTAATGACTTTATAAATGCGGACTATTTTCTAATCACCAATTCAAAAACTGACTTACCCGTGCTATTTGTTGGGCACATGCCCATGTTGTCCAGCCAAAGGCCCAATGGCCTAATCCTATTCTCTTTTGGTTTCCAATCCTATTTGGAATTGGATTCGGTTTATTCCTATTTTGAGTGGGTTTTGGCTTTAAGAGAAAGCACCACTCATGATCTATAAATAGGACAACCTTGGAGAATTATTCTATGCTCATTGATACAAGTCTTTGAAAGACTTAAGCACATAAGAGTGGGTTTTGAGAGAGCTTTCATCAAGAGAGAAGAGAGAAAAAAAAAGTATTTGTTTTGCTGCAGATTTTTATTCCGACCAGCCAACTTCAAATCACGTTTTCCGATTCGTTAACCGTTGGATCGGGCTAAAATTTTGACTGAGTGTTCGTAACATCTTGGTATTGGATTTGAACTGTGGAGATCGGATTTGGAGGCTCGTAGCATTTGATTTCGAGCCTCGAACAGCAGCTACGTTTTTTGGATTATACTCTTTCTTCAATTGATTAGTTGTTGCTATTGTTGCTCCGTGTTTAGCCCTTGTTGTGTAGCCAATTTGGAGAACTTTTGTAACCCTCTTATTGTTATAGTGGAACTTTTTGGATCTTTGTAATCCCGTGGTTTTTACCTTCGATTAGAAGGATTTTCCACGTTAAAATTTGATGTTATTTATTTTCTTTATTTTCGAATTTACCTCTTCCTCGACATAACACTTTCCACACAAAACCACACGTAAAATCCCAAAGGTAAACGCACTAATATAAGCTTAGACAGCCTTTTAGGGCAACATAGCAGCAGCCTTGTGAATATAGTGATAGCTGACAGACACAGTTATCCTATTCCCTAGAAAAAACTTAGTAGGATTCCTCCATTTTAGCACTATGTGTTCCTCTTCACGTGCTTTCCCCTAGGAACCCCAGCACCTTCTCCCCGCACTTATTGCTACATACAAAACCCTTTCTTGTGGTGTGTGTACAAGATTGTCGCTATCCAATTTTAACTTTTTTTTTTTTTTTATAATAGTAATATACCGATTAGTTTACCCCCGTCTTGATTAATTTTACGATACTTGTTATCTTTCGTTATGGCCGAAGTCAGAAATTTTTGCAAGGATGTTCAAATTTGAAAGGAGTGAACAAAATTTCCCTGATAAAGGTATTTAATATATATTATATACTTCTAAAACCTAATATTTTATCTAGATATATTGTGTAATTTTTCGACCAAGGATGGTCAATTAATCACCCTTTGGATAATGTAGCTTGGCCCCTTATCTTCCATAATTTCACGGATATTTGTTATTCCATCTGTTGCAATTTAAATGACACACTTTTCTTATAAATCCGTTAAAAAAAGAATGATATATTTCTATATTTGGAAACAATTTAACTTAATGAGAAGCTTTTATAGCCATACAGAACCGTAATCCCATAAAACTTTTATCCTTAAGCTTTTAAGATCATATATTTTAAAAGTACACCAAAATATAGATAGATGAAAAGAAATAACCAAAATATTTTTACCTCTCTAAGATTTGACCTACTACATCGACCACTAAATCACATCCGTCCCTATCCAATTTTAATTGAGAGAGAAAGAAGTGAGGCATATAAAGGGCAAATAAAAGAAACTCTTTTTCTTCTCAGACTGTGTTCTTAAGAAATAATGTTAGTAGTCATGAAATATCAAGATCAAGATTTTAGTAGTATTCACCCACACCCTTTTAGATTTTTCATGTTTTTATCCCAACAAGGAACTGATAGACACAACATTTCTGAAAACAACAAGGCAAAATGGAAGACAAGGCTGTTTCCATTTCTCCAAATTTTCTTCTTCTTTCAGCTGATAATTTCAAGAACTCAGTTAGCTTTAGGTCAAGATTGGGATGGTATAATTATTACTCAAGCAGATTATCAAGCACTTCAAGCTTTAAAACAAGAATTAGTTGATCCAAAAGGGTACTTAAAAAGTTGGAATGACACTGGATTTGGAGCTTGTAGTGGAAGTTGGGTTGGTATTAAATGTGCTCAAGGTCAAGTTATTGTAATCAAGATTCCATTAAAAGGATTAAGTGGTAGACTAAGTGAAAAAATTGGTCAGTTTCAAGCTCTCAGAAAACTTAGTTTACATGATAATGAAATATCTGGTTCAATTCCTGTTTCTTTAGGATTTTTACCAAATTTAAGAGGTGTTCAGCTTTACAATAACAGGTTTTCTGGTTCTATTCCTACTTCACTTGGTTTATGTCCACTTCTTCAAACACTTGAACTTAGTAATAATTCTTTATCTGGGACAATACCAACTAGTCTTATTAATTCAACTAAGCTTTATAGGCTTAATTTAAGTTATAACTCTTTGTCTGGTGAAATCCCACCAAGTTTTACTCAATCCAGTTCTATTATTTTTCTTGATTTACAATATAATAATCTTTCTGGTTCTATTCCAGATTCTTGGGGTGGAAATGGGAATAATCTTTTTCAATTACAGTCTCTGAATCTTGATCATAATTCATTATCTGGTGGTATTCCTGTTTCTTTTAGTAAGTTGAGTGAACTTCTTGAACTTTCAATTAGTCATAATCATATTATTGGTGTTATTCCTAATGATATTGGAAGGTTGAGTAGGCTTAGGTTTCTTGATTTTTCTTATAATGCTATTAATGGAAGTTTGCCTAAAAGCCTCTCTAGTCTATCCTCTATTGTGCTACTCAATTTGGAAAGTAACAATCTTGATAGTCAAATACCATTAGATATAAATAAATTGCAAAAATTGTCAGTTCTTAACCTAAGGAATAATCAGTTTAGTGGAGAAATACCAATGTCTGTTGGTGATTTACCAAATCTTAGTTCCTTCAATGTTTCATATAACAATCTGTCTGGTCCTGTTCCTGCTCAACTTGTTCAGAAGTTCAACTCGAGCGCGTTTTTGGGTAATCCTCGGCTATGTGGTCATAATGCTTCAACCTTGTGTCCTAAAACGCCATCTCCGATCACACGAGGTGGCAAACTAAGTGTTAAGGACATTATTCTCATAGTAGTAGGAGCTCTTATTATAATTTTGTTTCTACTTTGTTGCATTCTCCTCTGCTGTTTGATCAAGAAAAGAGCGTCGGCCAAAGGAGGAAAGACTATTGGTGTAAAGGGTGTTCCTCTAACAGCGGGAGAAGTCGAAGCAGCAGGAGAAAATGGAGGAAAACTTGTACATTTTGGTGGACCTGTGATGTTTAGTGCAGATGATCTGCTTTGTGCTACTGCAGATATATTAGGAAAGAGCACTTATGGTACAGTGTATAAGGCAACATTAGAAAATGGAAATCAAGTTGCTGTTAGAAGATTGAGAGAAAAGATCACAAAAGGTCAGAGGGAATTTGAGAGAGAAGTCAATGTTCTTGGAAAGATAAGACATCCAAATCTTTTGGCTCTTAGGGCTTATTACTTAGGTACAAAAGGAGAGAAACTTCTTGTTTTTGACTTCATGCCTAAAGGAAGTCTAGCAACTTTTCTTCATGGTAAGTAAAAACCAGATTTCCATTTAATATTCTTTTTCTTTTATTTTTTGAGAATTGAAGGAGAGCCTTGGCGTAACTGCTAAAGTTGTTGCCATGTAAACAGGAGGTCACGGGTTCGAGCCGTGGAAACAGCCTCTTGCAGAGATGCAGGGTAAGGCTGCGTACAATAGACCCTTGTGGTACGGCCCTTCCTCGGACCCCGCGCATAGCGAGAGCTTAGTGCACCGGGTTGCCCTTTATTTTTTGAGAATCGGACACTATCTCCATCTCATGAAAACTCCATCGATTTTGAATATTTGAGTTTGGTTTTTAAGATTGAGAATGTTGTATAGAATGATCTTATTGGTGATAGAATCTATGTTGCTCGGATTCTTCGAAAATGTCTTGAGGTGTGTGCCGGATCCTCCAAAAGTGATATATTTTTGGAGGATCCTACACGTATGCGGCAACATTTTGGAGAGTCCGCTCAACAAAGGATAGAATGATGTAAAAAAGGATTGAGATTTGGTATGGAGGAGATAATATGGCTTATTGATTTCATTGCAGCTCGCAGCCCGGATACTCCTATTGATTGGCCGATGAGGATGAGAATAGCAAAAGGGACGACGAGGGGATTGCTTTACCTTCACACTAACGCCAACATCATTCACGGGAATCTTACCTCGAGCAATGTTCTGCTTGATGAAAACTCAAATGCAAAAATTGCAGATTATGGTCTTTCGTGCCTTGTGACTGCTACTGCAAATGCAAACGTAATTGCAACAGCAGGGGCACTTGGATATCGCGCACCTGAACTTACTAAGCTCAAGAAAGCCAACGTGAAGACGGATGTTTACAGTCTTGGAGTCATTATATTGGAACTTCTAACCGGTAAGTCTCCAGGAGAGGCAATTCTCAATGGCGTGGATTTGCCAAGAAAAGTGGCGTCGACTGTGAAAGAGGAGGGAACAAGTGAAGTGTTTGATCTGGAACTAATGAGGGATGCATCTATAATTGGTGATGAAATGTTAAATACACTGAAATTGGCTTTGCACTGTGTTGATCCCTCGCCATCAGCTCGACCTGAAACTCAGCAAGTTCTCCAACAACTTGAAGAAATTAGACCTGAAGCTGCAGCTCCCTCGGCAAGTGACTAAAGACTTAGTTTTTTTGATAAAGTATTTTGAGATGTTAGAAGTTAGTTGCCATAATTCTTTCATTCTTGAATTTCATTGCTAGAGTATTAGGTTTGTTTGAAGTGTCTGCAAATACAAGTGTGCTACATTGATTTGGAGTTTGAGCATATGGAATCCTTCTAAATTCCATCCCTTTAGTTCCAAAGAACAAATTCTGAGATTGAGTTTTCGTTCACTTCATACAGAGATACTGAAAAATGTCTATACATTGACTTTTATCCTAGCCCATATAAGCTAGATGGCCAGGTGGAGAACTTATATACAGAATTTCTTCTTAAATTTTACCGCCGATGGTCTGTTGGAAACAACATCTCTCTCCAGTAGAGAGGTTGTGTAGTCTTTGGCTGCAAGCAGAGACGAATTCAAGATTTAAACTTGATGGTGTCAACTTCTATGTATTATAACTTAATTTAGAATTTTGTTTTATATAAACTTTAGTGATATTTCACAAACACTCATTAGGACATATGGAACTGATGTTGGGTTTCAACTGAACCTATGGAACCCATATTGCATTTACCTGTGGCAAAGGAATAAGAGGAAACAAAAAATATCAGTACATATTTTGTGCTAAGTTTGTGTCAATTGTCACAAGATAATAGTTGGTACAGTGACACGCTACATCCAATGATTTGATATTCTCAATCCAATTTGCTAGATAGTCAATTCCAATCATCTTCCGATCACAGAGCCAAGATTTTCGCTAAGATGATTCAAAATATAAAGCAATAAGTGTATCAAGAGCCAATGGATTCAACATTTACTATATATACATAAAGAATAAATTTTGACCTTGTATATAGGCGAAAGGAATTCAGATGAACCCCCTAGCTCCCCCGCTTCCGACATGCTCTAGTGTCCGGGTGAAATCCAGGGGCGGATGCACATGGGAAGGAGGTGTATTTCATCTCAAATAGTTAATTAACATGGGCGAACCCGAACTCAAGTCAGCACTTTAGTGCTGGTAAGGAGGTGCACCTTCTACCTTTCAATCAGACTGATCAATCCTTGTATTCTTTCTTCTTTTACACTATATTTTAATTAATAAATAGGGTTAAATCCCCATGCTTCTAATTAAACACACTTTTTTACTGGTTACACGTCTTTTTCCTTTCTCTTTCTTTAGTCTTTGTTTTGATTTTTGAAATTCCTAAACCAAAAATACATCGGATTTCTGGTGCTTATGGTGCACTCATGCTCTTGAAATTTTGGATACGTCTAAGCTCAAATTCCCCCCACCCCACCCCCGGAAAAAACCCAAATCACGTTTTTGCAAGGATGTTATTGTTTAACCAAAAAACTGAATATTTGGTTAAAGCTAGAAATTAAGAGAGAAATCAGGTTACTGATAATCAAGAAATGAGAGACTTTAAGAATGACAATAAAGCAATGAATAAGTTTATATTTCAGTATAATCACAATGATCTCCCCTACAGATGTTGAGACCTTCTCCTTTTATAGTTAATTCTAAGAGAAAGTGTAATGCCTTTGTCTTAATGAGGCAATTATGAGCAATAAATGACATTAAAAGAAACGTTACTCAATCATTCCTATTAAATACAAATTCTCTAACGTATTTGGCATTTAATGCTGAATTTGGACTCTTTTACGCTATCAGATTCATGTCTTCAATTCCTTCTGATCTTCGAGCTTTAAATGACTCGAACAGGTACGAGTCTCATTTCATTTGAATAATAGCTCGTGCCTTTAAGTATCTTCTCTCCCGCATCTGTTGTTGCTCGTGCCTCCTAACTGATTACCATGTTTTGACCATTTGACCAATCCACGTGTCATGACACGTTATCTTCAATATATAAATTCAGTTTTTTTCCCAATACAGATAGTCCCCCCACTTTCCATTTATTTATCAATTAAATATTTGGGAAGTGGATCTTCATTAAAAAGGGAATTTTTTCCATAATCAACGCTATGACAGTACTAACGCTTCAGTTGTCTTTGTAGGCCAACCTCATTGGCACGGAATTGATGGGAAGAATTTTCCTTTAAGAAAAGAAGGCCCGTGAGTCTGATAAGACTATTCTCGAGGCTGAGAGGGTAGCTAAGGAAGCCCAGCTGGAAGCAACTAATTGGAAGGAACAGTTTAAAAATGCTCAAGAAACGATAAAAGAATTGCAAGAAAGCAACCGTAACCTGGAGCAGCAAAAGCGGACTCTGACTGCTGAATTAGCGGGAGCCAAGGCTTCTTCTAGTAAAGCCGAGAAGGATAAGGAGCGCCTTGAGTGTTCCTTTTCAGAGCAGTTATCAAAGTCAAGTGAAGAAATCAGAGAACTTAAGGCACTCTTGAACAAGAAAGAAGAGTATGCAGGAGAGTTAGTACAAAACTTGACTCATGCTCAAGCTGATTTGAAAATCTCCTCTGATAAGGTTCGTGCCTTAGAGAGTTCTCATGCCTCCCTTGAAGCTACCCTTGATTCAACTTTAGCTGAAAATCAAGTGTTAAAGAATGATCTTGCTATGTGGGAAAGGGATTATGAACTTCTTGAGGAGAAATTTAACATAGAGGTGAGTTGGGCTTTTCTAAACTCTCGTCGTGATGCTTTAACTGAGGCCAGTCAAGAAAACTTTGATTTAGAATCGGAATTGGCCAAGGTTTTGAAAACCATTGAGATGACCCAACAACCACTTGACTTTCCTTCTCCGGCAGATGAAGCTCCCGTGGATGAAGAACCTTTAAATGAAGAAGCCGCTGCTGTGGCAGTTGAAGTTGAAAATGTTGCAATTCCAGCTCCCGAGGGTGAAACTTCTATGACTCAGTCTAAGGAAGCTGAAGCTTCCGTGACTCTTGCTCTCCTCGATGAATCTAACACTTCTATCCCAGCTGAAACCGCTCCTGTTGTTGTTTCTTCAGAAGTTACCGTTCCTGAAAGTGAAGCTGATATCGCAACTTCTGATGGTCCAGCCCCTCAGTGACCAGTTTATGTTTTCAAACTTTATTTTTATTTGCTTTGTTGATTGGTGGGTTTATCCCTTGGTCAGTTTTTAAGGGATTTTTTTAGAAAAAGTCCCCAGTTATCATAATGGGGCACTTGTATAAACTTTTTTTTGTTGACTAAGTTTTTACTTAGTCTTTTTAACTATATCAAGAAGTTTATTAGTACTTCAATATGTTCTATTCTTGCCTTTTTATTATTTATTTAGGACTTATAGAATAGTTTAGCATTTTTAAACTTTGAAAATGCTTTATGATTCTTCTCATGACCTATTAACATGTGGCTTATAAAAGAGGGCCCTTTTATATATAACGACACTTAATGAAGAAGACGTCTCAACTTCATAATGGTGTTACAATACGATGAAAGAAATAGGAACACACATGTTTTGTTTGGAATAACTTTGACAAGTTTTTGAATATTACATGTATTAAAATACATTTATAATTTTCTCTTAACTGTTTTTCTTGTAACAGATTTTTACAAAATAAATATAATTCAAACAAGGTTTTTCCTTATAACCCGTTTCAGTATATAGTCATGACCCTATCTTCATGTATTAGGAAGGGTTTGAGAGGTGACTCCATTGTTCTCATGAGTTTGAGAGGTGACTCCATTGTTCTAATGAGTTTGAACACTATGATGAATGTTTTGTATCTTCATTTGTTTTGATGAGAAAGAACACAATGATGAATGCTGAGGTTCCGTAACTTCTGCCCGACACTTGTCTCTTTGTGGCTTAATTTTTTCGATTTTCGTTCGGTTTACGTATCTGTTTTCCCGCACGTATCTGTGTACAATATGCAGTCCCCCAAGTGTTTGAGCGGTGAAGTATGAAGCCTCGAGCACTTGTTTGTTTCTCTCAATTTGGTCCTTTTCCTGAAACAGAAAAACATACGGGACTCGGAGATGCGATTAGATATGAAGACTGCCTAACCCGTGTGTATTTCCATCAGAATAATTGTAACTCTGGGCTGGGAATTTTAGAATATTCCATTGTGCCGTGCAGGTCGTGACTCATCATTTGGCACGGGTAAGGGTTTTTGTCTAGCATCTAAAATCGTTCGTAAAATTTTACAATTCAAAGAAAAATTTTACATAGCGATACCTGACCATGGGTACTTTCTCAAAAGTAATATCTCTTTAGGTGGACAGCATTCCAATGTGAGGGTAGAATTTTCCCATCCATTGTCTCTAACTCATATGCTCCTTTTCCCGCAATATCACAAACTCTGAAGGGTCCTTCCCATTGGACTTAGCTTTCCTGAATTAGCGGCCTTTGTAGATTGGAACACCTTTTTAAGCACGAAGTCCCCAATTTTAAAAAATCTGAGGCGTGCTTTCCTGTTGTAATACCGTTCAATTACTTGCTTTTGTGCTGCCATCCTTATTAATGCGGCTTCTCTTCTTCCTTCGAGCAAATCAAGGTTCACCCGCATATCTTCATCATTTGATTCTTCCGTTGCTTGAGCATATCGTGTGCTCGGTTCTCCTATTTCAACTGGGATTAAGGCCTCCGCACCATAAACCATTGAAAATGGTGTTTCTCCCGTACTTGTTTTTGTCGTTGTACGATAAGCCCATAATACTCCAGGTAATACCTCAGGCCAATTACCTTTTGAATCTTGTAACCTTTTCTTCAAGTTGTTGATAATGACCTTGTTTGTGGATTCCGCTTGTCCATTACCCACTGGATGGTATGGCGTAGATGTTATCCTTTTAATTTGCCAACTTTGAAAAAATTCTGTGATTTGAGCTCCTATGAATTGTGGACCATTATCACACACGATTTCCTTTGGCACTCCAAAGCGGCATATTATGTTCCTCCAAATGAAGTCTTTAACTTCCTTCTCTCGTACCTGTTTAAATGCTCCTGCTTCTACCCATTTAGTGAAATAATCAGTAAGTACAAGTAGAAACTTCACCTGACCTTTTGCTTGTGGTAATGGACCTACGATATCCATTCCCCATTTCATAAAGGGCCACGGAGCTATGACAGGATGCAGTAGCTCAGCTGGTCTATGCATATTATTCCCGTACCTTTGACATTTATCACATTTAGACACAAAACTATTTGGGCTTCTCTTCCATCTTAGGCCAATAATACCTGCTCGAATCAATGTTTTACCTAGTGACCTTCCTCCCGCATGAATTTTCACAATGTCCTTCATGTATTTCCCTCATTA